CTTCCCCCTTGCCTGAATGGGTCTTTGAATCTCACCGTATGTTTTCCGGCACATCTCCGTCTAGGCCAGCCACACTTCCAGCACAGTGCTCAGTATTCACACGCTGCTGGTGACACTATTGGGCAGAGCAAAGTCTGGTTTGTGGCATCTGGAGGGCAACAGGAAAGGGCATTTCGGGGTGGTAGAAGAGATATATCCTCAGGCTTTTTGAGCTCTTGACAAAGCCATGCTCAGGCTTCTTCCTCTTTGAGAAACCTGATATGTAAAAAATCATTTTGACAGGAAAGGTAAATCAGGAAGTGACTATTCATGTTACAAAAGAATGAGCCACAGGATCTTTGAAACTGCACGTTCCCCCAGTACACTGAAGACTATGACTCTGTACAAAAGTGTGATTGCCTCTTGACATTTTCACAGCACCTTGTTGGGCAAAGAACTGCCTGCCATTTACATAAGGCGGGATGAGCTGTTGACTGAGCGATCTTCTTGAGTCCGACTGCACGTCATGGCTGCTTATCCCAGAACTAGGGGTGTTCCCGACTTCAGAGGCACGCTGAGACCTGTGCAGAGGAAGCATGCAGCCACCGCTGTGTGTGTTGGGGGCAGGGGCAGCGAAGCCTAAGGACCAGAGGAGCTGAGAAGGTGACAAGGAAGTTGTTGGGATCTGGAAGGTGCAGAAGTTGCTTAAGATTAAAGAAAAGATTGAAGGGTGTACCAACAAAGACCAACCAGAGAGGATTTTCAGAGAAAGACTCCAATATCACAGTGTTCTGCTGTAGCTCTCTCTGAATGTCCATCCCTAATCATCAGCATCACTCAGAGCAAGTAGCAGGTGATCCTGGGGCTGGGGGAGCTGAGAAGCAGCGGAATGCCTGCTCTGGAGTTGGCCACAGCACGAAGCAGCAGCTTGCTTCTTGAGGAACCACCCGTTTGAAGTCCATTCCTTTTGCCCTCTTCCAGCTTGACAGTGGTCAAGTTCACATGCTGAGAAAGTGCGTTACGTGGCTGTCTAGGAAGGTAGGAGCAAAGCTGTGTACCACCACTTGGTCAGGTTTCTGAGTCCCTGAAAGTACACACCAAGTGAAATGGCTGCTTTGAGCAAACTGCTCCTTAGAAACCTTCTAGAGCTCCTGCCTCCACACTGGCAACATCCCTGTGCTGTCTCACATGACTCCAGCCAGCACCTTTTGACGGTGGCTGCACAACAGCTGGGAGCTTTCATCTCAGGTGCTAATGGCATTGGCTTTGGGGCACCTAGGTCACAATTCCAAATTTTTTCTTGCTTAACACAGAATCCCTGCAATTAAAAAAATAGTTGTTTCCATGGTTTAAAAATGTATTATATGTACACATACATATGTATACACACATATATGTATATTTTGTAAAGGTTTAGTATTTCCCTTATCTGAAATGCTCAGGACCGCAAGTGTTTCGGGTTTCAAGTTCTTATAGGTTTTTGGAATATTTGCATATGCATGAGATATCTTGAGGATGGGGACATAAATTTACATAGAAACATTTGTGTATCATATATATACCTTAAACACATAGTCTAAAGATAATTTTATATAATTCAATTAATTGCGCATAAAATAAAGTTTCATGCATGGAGTTTCTCAGTTATGGCAGGCATCATGTTGATTCTCAAAAAATTTTGAATTTGGGAGCATTTTGAATTTCTAATTTCTGAATTAGGGACATGCAAAGTATGCATGTGGGCTCTACCAGTTTGAAATTGAAGAAATACCCAAGAAGTGCCTAAACCTTACTTATCAGGGTTAGTGAATGTTGGAAAACGTAAGCTTGGGTATTTGTGTAGCTTAAGGCACTGATGGAAAACAAAGATATTTTTTTCATGATCTAGGTACATTGCTTTAGACTATCTTGCTAATAGTCCTTTTGGCTCAACACTTCCCCTTCTGTCAACGTTAGAAGTAAATGCAGGGCCGCCCCGCTTCCCATCCAGCTCCCTGCCTGTGGCCTGGGAAAGCAGTCGAGGACGCCCCAAAGCTTTGGGACCCTGCACCCATGTGGGAGACCTGGAAGAGGCTCCTGGCTTCAGATAGGCATAGCATCAGCCGTTGCGCACACTTGGGGAGTGAATCATTGGACGGAAGATCTTCCTCTCTGTCTCTCCTCTCTGTATATCTGCCTTTCAATAAAAACAAAAACCTTAAAAAAAAAAAAAGAAGTAAATCCATATCACAAATTGTCTGGGGAATTGAGAGTTGTGGGTTCTGTCTCCGCAAGATCTGATTGGCTCATCCTGTGTCTGGAATATTTGCATACGCATGAGATACCTTGAGGATGTAGCTTGCAGGTAGCTAAGGTAGTAGCTCTGCCGTTTCCCTTTCCACGTGGCCTCAAATTGGGTTTTTTACAACCCCTGCCCTTTTTTATATCAGTCTTTTCAAACTTCTAATCCATTCAATGAGGTGATTGTAGTTCAAAAGGTTTCATATTTATAAAGAGGCATAACGCCACCACAGGGTGCCTCATGCTGGTGAAAGCTGGTGCTGCTTCTGGCGGCCTTTCTTGTCCCACTGTCCCTCTGGCTGTTTCTTGCACCTCAGAGGACTCCTGACTCTGCCCTGGAGACTAGGAGGGGCCAGTGTCATCTTGTAAGTGAAAGAGGAAGGAAGTTGAATTTTTCTCTTTTTAAAAGGAAATATGCTATACGAGGATGTTCTAATTTCATCTCCCATGATCTGAACAGATCCCCAGAGTGGCAGTGTCCCACTGGGTGCCATGTAGGCTCAGAAAAGAAGTTGGAGATCCACTCTAAGCTTTGGGTTCTCTGAATGGGGACATGAGCTTCCCTCATTGCAGGGATGAAAGCTGATACTTCAGGACAAGGTGTCTGGGTTCTGAGCAGTGGTTACTGTGATCCCAGTTTCTGTTAGAAAGCAACAATGACTCAACATCTGGGTGGTTTGAAGCAAGATTTTTTTCAGTCAGCCTGGTTCTCCGCCTTAACTGTTCAGAAGCAGAGCGCTGCAGGGAAGCTGGGTGTTTATGTGTAGGTGCTTTGGGAAATGAGGAAAACCTGCCTTGTTTGTGTTCTCAGCTCCACCTTTCTGCTGTGAGCAACGGGGATGGTTCTCCGTGACATTCTGCTCAGTCTTAGCACAGCCAGTCAGGTGGCTAATTTCTGACAGAAAAAGGGATCCCAGAAAGGAAGCTCCACTTGGAGTTGTTTGGGCTGCATCTGGGGCAGCTGGCAGTATATGTGGATATTATGCATGCCCCAGTGTGCAGACAGCAGTTCTGAACTGGAAGTGCCTGGGGGGTTGTCTCTAATGCATATGCAAAACCCGTGTGATGGGGCCTCATTCACGCTGCTAGCCTGGTTTTGGTTGGTGCACATGAAATTTGTTAGAGCTGTGACATGAAATCTCATGCTGTCAAATTTTAATTTGATTAAAAACATTAGTTGACATAATATTTGCCCGTATTTATGGAGTATAATATTATAGTTCAATGCATGCATCTAATGTATAATGATGAAATCAGGGTAATTAGCGTTTTCATCTCCTCACATATTATCATTTCTATGTGTTAGGAACTTTCTCCTTTATTTTATTTGAAAGATGGAGTGACTGAGAGAGGGAAACATAGAGATCCTCCATCTACTGGGTCACTCTCTAAATGCAGAAGCAACAATCTGGGACCAGGAACTCCATCCACGTGTCCTAGGTGGTGCCAGGGACACAAGCGTTTAAGCCATCATCTGCTGTCTCTCACAGTGCATATTAGCAAGAAGCTGGACCAGAAGTGCAGAGTAGCTGGGACTCGAACTGTAGGTGTCCTGAACAGTGATTTACCACTCGTGCCACAACACCCTGCCTGTTTGTCAGATGATGTAGTTATTCTGTGGTGCTTTGTAGAGCGTTAGAACTGCCTCATCTGCAATTCAAGAAATCTTTGCTAAAGCCAAGGTCACTGGAATTATTCTCCCATACTAGCTTATGAAAGTTTCACAGTTTTTAGCTATTACGTCGTAATAAGTAATACGTTGGAGTTAATTCCAGTCAGTGCATTCTTTATGGTGATCATTTAACTTTTTCTCTGCCATTATATCACTGTAATTTCTAAGTTGCTAATTTCCCACTTGAGGTTTCATCTAATTTTTGCTATCCTTGTATTCATTTGGTATTCATTATTCGTGTAGAGCTAAACATGGAAAACGAAAGGGTCATGAGATTGGTTTGTATTGAGGTGGGTGTGAGGAGGAGCCCAAAGTCTAAATGAATTGCATGATCGATTAATAGATTGGTTAACTAATTGCTAGATGGATTAGCTCTGCTAATTTGCATCGGCACTTTGTCAACAAGAAGACCTGTCTTCTTTCCTTGTGGCCTCTGCTTATTACCTACTATGAGAGCTGGCCATCCATCAGCAAAGCTGTTTCCCTTGACATCTGCTGCCTGATGCCTCCTCTGAGGACAGCGCATTGGTGCTCTGGCCAGTGTGCTCTGAGACCTTGTCCGACCAGCTGGACTCTATAGCAGCCATCTTTATATGTGTTGTTGAAGATAGGGTGCAATGACTGCTTACATTTTGTACAGCCAAGGCCCAGAGAGGTTGGCATCACCCGGTCAGTATGCTGAGGGAGGAGGAAACACAAAAGCCAGACAGACTCCTGAGTGCTTTCTGTAGTCTGCGACCTTGGTGCTGTGATGCTGGTCTCCCTTGGGTGTAGCACATGTTCTTGGCTGGCTGTCACTGTGCAGCTTCCCCTCTGAAGCCCCTGATGCTTCCAACACCTGTTGGTCACCCTACTTGTTGTCTGACCACAGACTAGCACTTCGTGGTTCCTGTGCAATGGGCTTCAGGTTAACCAAAATCACACTGCTGTATGTGGCCCTGTTGCTTTGAATATTCATAGAAGGGAAGTCACTTTAATATGATTTTATTGTCTTTTCAGGGCTGCTGGGCCTCAGACTTCTCCAGTGCCTGAGCTAAGCTGTTTTTTTTTTTTTTCCTGTTCCTTTCAGTGGAGGCCATAGTGGAGTTTGACTACCAGGCTCAGCACGACGATGAGCTGACAATCAGCGTGGGTGAGGTCATCACCAACATCAGGAAGGAGGATGGAGGCTGGTGGGAGGGACAGATCAATGGCCGGAGAGGTTTGTTCCCTGACAACTTTGTGAGAGTGAGTACAAAGCCAAACCTTTTTCCTGTATCCTGTGTGGGCTCTGTTGACCAAAGGCTGTGGGGGCTGCAGATGAATTGCTTGGCACTCTCCTGGGGGATGTGCTGAAGGTTTTGCCTCCTGTATGATATTAAGACGAGCATACATAGCTTTCCCCTTGATGTCTGGGATCGCTGTTCTGAAATCGCCTTTTTAATGCCTAGAATGATCTCTGTATATATAAACTATCACTTCTTAGAAAAGGCTGGAAAAAAAATCTAAAGCTTGTTAAATTGTTTGGTTTTATGTCCTGGTTTACTTGTTCAAAAGAATTCTACCTTTTCCCATGCCGTACAAAACAAAGGTGAAACTCGGTTTTGATCACTTGCTGTGAAATGGCAGTTGAGCTCAAGGCAGAATTGAAATGATGCTTTTAGTCACTTTTGTATTCATGCTGCCTTTCTCATGGGATCAGTGATATTTTCCTCAACCTATCCAATGTCCATGAAGCACTCAATGTGGTTCTTCAATAGGATTTTGAAAATTAGACCCTTTGCAAAAGTCATCTGGGGGTTAGTTACAAAAGTGTAGCTAATTCATGTTAGTAAATTATACATCCCATAGTTGTAAATAATACTTTAATTATGGGTTTAAAAAAGGAAAAAAAAAAGATCACCTGAAGGCTGTTACTCATGGGAAATACTAACTAGGTTCCAAAAGCTTTGTTCTGTAAACTTCCCACACCAGAGAATGGAAACCTGAAAGAGGGAGATAGAAAGAAAGGTATCTTGCATGCCTTGGTTTACTCCTATAAAGCTGTGAGCACCCAGGGCTGAGCCAGGCTGAAGCCAGGAGCTTGGGACATCACCCAGCTCTCCTGTGCAGGTGGTAGCGACCCAAGCATTGACCCCTCATCTGTTGGCACCCAGGCTGCATGAGCAGGACACTGGATTGGAGATGGAGTTGCTGGGACTTGCACGGGCAACTTGATTTGTAATGTGAACATATCAAGTGGTGGCTTAACGTGTTGCACCACAATACCTACCCCATTCCTTAAGCATTTAAAAATATATGTTTACTTGTTTGAGCAATTAGTAGACACAGGGACACATGCCAGTGCCCAACTGTTACTTCATTCCTCAAAACACTGCGCTGAAGGGGTAGGCTGGGCTGAAGCTGGGAGCTAGGACCTCAAGGCAGGTGTCCCACATGAGTGGCGTGACCTCAACTTGAATCCTCACCTGCTGTCTCCTAGTAGGGTTTGTATTAGCAGAAAGCTGAAGTCAGGAGCCAGGTGCAGGCATCGAATCCAGCCATTGTGATGTGGAATGCAGGTGTCCTAACCACTGGACCAAATAGCTGTCATTTTAAGCATTTTGTCTCTCTCTCTTTTTTTTTTTAAATTTTTTTGAAAATCATTTATTTCATTAGTTTATAATACAGTTCCACAGGCGGCTCTGGGATTTCCCTTTCCCTATCCCCCAACTGCTCTCCCCTCTCCACCGAATGGTATAGTCCCTCATAAACAGTTTTAAGTCCATCATTCTGCTATTTAAGTGTATCCTGACATTGAAGGCATGGACAATGACAGAGAGTCCAGTATACTATTGTCTAGATATATTTAGCAGTTATTTTTATTGGGAAAGCAGATAGGGAAAAGGAGATATAGAGAGAAAGATCTTCCATCCACTGGTTCAGTCCTCAAGTGGCTGCTACGGTCAGAGCTGAGACAATCTGAAGCCAGGAGCCATGAGTCTCTTCCGGGTCACCCACATGGATGCAGGATCCCAAGGCTTTGGGCCATCTTCTGCTGCTTTCCCAGGCCACAAGCAGGGAGCTGGATGGGAAGTGGAGCAGCCGGGACATGAACTGGTGCCCATATGGAATCCTGGGCACATGAATCCTGGCACATGGCCACTAGGGTCTGGCGCCCGGCCCTAAGGATTTTCTTGATGAAGTTGTTAGATCTTTATTCAGTGTCGCACTTGAGCATGTTCACTCAAAGTATTGCAGTTCATCCCCACTTTCAGCTCTGTACCATCTGCCCCCCACCTCGTTCAGCACCCCAAGCCATGCTATTTGGAAGTACAAGTCTGAGCTTTGCCAGCCTCTCGGTGGAGAGTGGTTGGGCCATGTAAATGTATGCAGCCGGGAGTTGGCCCACTTTTCTTTAATTAGTTCTTAATTTATTTACTGTAAATATGTAAGAACAATCTTTTAAAATTCTCCCTTTTCTTTATTCTACTTTTCTGCTCATGTAGTTCTTTTGGAATACACTTGATTTTGTCCTGGCTTTTTAAAAAACTTACTTGTATGAAATTTACATAACAGTATGTACAATTGTAAGTATACAGGTTGATGGTTTTTCCTTTTACATTAGTGTGTACCTCGAAATCTTCTCCAGGTTAGAACTACTTCTGTCCCTCTGCAAAGTTCCATAATGTCTTTTCTGTCATTCTTTTCTCCCAAGTGGTTGATCATCATAGTTTAGTTTTGGCTATATTTGAATTTCATGTAAATGGTATCCTGTAATGTGTATTCTTTTTACATATGGCTTTTGAAATCACGATTTATTTTATTTATTTGCAAGGCAGAGTTGCAGAGAGAGGCAGAAACAGGAAGAGGCCTTTCGTGCACTGGTTCCCTCCTCGCATGCGTGCAGTGGCTCAGGCCTGTGACCAGGCCGCTGCCTTGCTCTCCTGTGTTGGTGATGGGGACTGGAGTTCTTAGTCTGGTTCTCTAAGTGTGTTAGCAGGGGGCTGGATTGGAAGCTGAGCAGCCAGGACTCGAACTGTGCAACCATGCCAGCTTGTATATGTGGCTTCTGCACAGTAAGGACGTTATTGCAAGTATCAGGACTTCGTGCTGTCACAGACATTCTGTTGACAGGTATGTGAATTGTTCCCATTTGGGGGTTTTGTGACTAAAGGCTCTGAACCTTGTATGTCGTCGTAGGGACATAAGCAAGCATTTCTCTTGTATATTTGAGAGGTCTTCAAAAGCTCCTGGAAGATGTGTCTGCTGAAGAATCTATGCGTGCATTTCAAGGCTTTTTTGGGGCATGAAATAATTTCCATGTAAATTGTGATGCCCTTGCATATGCAGCTGAGTGGGGTGGAATTACTCCCCACCCTCATATTCAGTGATTAGGTGTTCTCTGTTGAAAGCCTAAGTCCCTGTTAGGAGGGGAAAGGGTTCCACGTGTGCCTGGAGCCCCCTCTGTCAGAGTGTGCCAGCCCCCGTGCAGCTTGCTGGTTAGGGGTCCAAAAACACTGACCTCAATCTCCCGGGGAAGGATTTCATGTGTGGGCCCAGGAATGACCCAGGGCTAACTCCAGCATTGTTCCAAACATGGAAGCACAGAGCACGGGTGTAAGTTTTGTTGACTTCAGTTAATAGGTGAGCTAGCAGAATAACACAGCTGATTCAGTGAGGATGTGAGACGTTGATGAAAAAGTCACTGTGAAAAACAATGTTCAATTCGAATCGCTGAGCTAGAGCCAAGACTGATTTGGGTCTTGGTGGACAATAAAATCGTCAACTGCAGGCTTATCGTCTCCACCAGAAAAGGAAAAAGGAAAACAACTTAACTCATTGTATTTCTCTGTTACCTTTGACTTGTCCAGGGTTGTAAAATGTCCTAATCAAGTGTTAGCAAAATGAAGTCACAGTGCCAGAGTAGCAGATCACTTCTTTTTAAAAAATAAAAAAGGATTTATTTATTCATTTATTTGAAAGGCAGAATTGCAGAGAGACCTTCAGTCCTCTGGTTCACTTCCCAGTGGGCCACAATGGCCAGAGCTGAGCCTCTTCCAGGTGTCCCATGTGGGCAGCAGGGACCCGAGCAGCTGGGTCATGTTGTTCCAGGCTATTAGCAGGGAGCTAGATTGGAATTTGAGCACCCAGGACTTGAACCGGTACTCATGTAGGCTGCCAATGTTGCAGGCAACAACTTCACTCACTATGCCACAATGCCGGACCCGCAGCAGATCACTTTTTAAATGTTAGATTGGTCACATAATCATCACTTCCTTTATTTCTAAGCTTTGAATATTTTCTCAGGACAGACCTTGTAGATCATAATGCAGGATACAGTAATTTAAAGCAGGATGAATAATCAAAATCACTTACTACAAAAATAGGGGTGGGTGTTGTGGTGTAGTAGGCTAAGGTACCACTTGAGCTGCCCAAGTCTTACATTAAAGCACTTGATTCAAATCACCCCCACTTTGCTTTTGATCCAGCCTTTTGCTGACATGGCTGGGAAGTCTGAAGTGATGGCTCTAGTGTCTGAGGCCCACATGGCAGAATCAGATACACTTAGTGGCCCTTGGCTTTGGCCTGGCCCAGCTACAGCTGTTTTGGGCATGTGTGTGTGTGTGTGTGTGTGTGTGTACCTCTCTGTTACTGTGCCCGTAAAATAAATAAATAAGTAAATAATAAAAAAAAAACCCACCATAATAGGTAGATGAAGACTTTCTTGTAGGGCTTTATCCACTGGGATTTAATCATCAGTGTTGTCTTTTTAATACCTTCCCCTTGGATCCAGTTAGCAGTGTGCGATAGTGACGCATGAGATTGATAAGCAGCCCTTTGCTAGGCTCCCCCGGACGTGAATGCACACACACACAATGTCCTGATGGCTGGCCAAATGTATTTTCAATAGAGAAAGCCTTGCCACTGTGGCCCGGGCCGGCGCGCCTGCGCTAGGCTGCTTGCGGAGAGGATGTTTGATAAGGTGCAGTGAAGCCCAGGATGCTTCTCAGCTCTCGAAGAGACGTGTAGAAAGCAGGAAGCTGCGGTAGGGGTTAAAAGAATATGCTGTTGTTCTTGAAATTTATCTGATGCCGTGTGTGAGGAAGTGAGATGTTTTCTCTGCCTGTTTTTGTATGTGTTTGGTAGAAACACACTTTACACATTTTACTGCAGGTCCCACTGTGGAAAGCTGACGTGTGTTTACTTGGAGCTCGGGTGCTGCACGTATGCTGTGTGCCGTGGTTTTCAGCTTGCGTTCTTTCCTG